CTCTCTTGGCTCAAAAAACAGTCTAAGGTGTTGGGTTTCTTTTTTTGTTGTTTTTATGTTAGGGCAGAAATTGGGTGGGGATTGGGGAAAGTAGGATGCTCCAATGACTTGCTATAACGAACCTTTGAGGACACTGAGCTTGCTCCTTGAAAACTAGAACACTTGGAACTTAAAATACAGTCCCTGAGTAGAAGAAAGCGGACAGGTTCTACAAAGCAGTATTGAGGAGGGTGAACCTTCCTGGGTGAACAGTCCAAACAACAACCCCCTTCCTGAGAATGGTTTAGGACAAACTTCTTAGCAAACACCCAGCTGACTTTGTAGCACATAAGATGGGTGATAGTCTCTAGGAACTCTCCCAGCCTGTATTCACAGAACACCTCTGGATAAATGGTTGCCTCCCACCAGTGTCCTGCAGGCAGTTTCTCTCAATGGCCCCAGACTGGATCCTCAGATAACAGCCCTCCCAGCCAGCCTTCAACAGCAAACAATATATCCAGGCCTTCCAACCTCTCGGCTAAGGCCTCGATTCAACAAGCACATGGCAGGATTGCCTGAAAGGGCAGACGAGCCCTGAAGCAGTGGTCTCCCCTTGGCCAGAAGGGGAGACCTTGACCCAGCTGCTCCAGAGTATTTATGCTTTCTCCCAGAATTTTCGAGGCTGATCCTCCTAGAGATTGTCTAGGGCTACATAACTATTAAGCTTCTACTTAATATGCTTCCACCTTTATTACCTAAAACTCCTCCAGTTGTACAGGAAGAAACAAACAATCAGGCAGCCCCTGAAACACAGACCAGACTAAATAATTCAAACCCAGCTCCACTGGTTACAGTGAGCTAAACTAAATTTACCTACATTAGCACTTAACTGTAAACCCTAGACATAATTCTAGCCTCCTTGGGTATAGTGAGCCAAATTAAATACAGAACAAATTAACCCCATTGACTACAATGGGTACAAACTAAATTTACTCATCTTAGCAGGAAGGTGCTACATTAGCAAGCATAAGTACCTGAATTTAGCTTGATATCAGCCTCTTGTAATTCATTCTATAGTGTCATTTAGACTGAAAGAGGTAAGTGAAGCACTAGACGCCTACTAGATGTGGTAAATGCAAATGTACTTGTAGTGCTACCCTCGGGAGTTGTGGTTGTGGTTACCCCTAAGGGTAACCACAACTGTGTTGTGGTTACCCCTAAGCTCTGCACAGCTAGGCAACAGGTATTTTTTTCATACACACAGACTTGCATCCAAGAAACAATAACCAGTTAGTGGGCTTGGTTTTGTTATTTTATTAGGGGAAATTAACTTGGATAGGGAAATAGGGATTATGGGATGCCCAGTCTGGCTTGAATCAATGAAGGGGGGACAACTTCCTTCCTATGTACAAAGAAGGATCCTAGACTGCTCAGATTTGCAGCCCTTTATCAGGAACTAGCAGCCTTTCCTGAAATAAACTTAGCTTCTTGTAACTACATAGAGATATAACTTCTCTCCCCCTGCAGAGCTGCTCCCAGCTCCACAGCAGCCTGCCAACACTACCAGCCCTCCTTGCTTCTCAGAGGATCTCCCAGGACAAGGATATTGGATTGAGCCCAGCGCTGTCCTTTGAAAGTTTGCTACGTAAGGCAGTCTTTCCCCATGTGGATCCCAGGGAGTGCTGATATACTCACCCTGTCCTCTTTGCTCCCCACTGCTCTAGGTCTTGATCCCATTCACTCCTCACTGCTGAATGTATCCTTCTGAGCCAGCCCAAACCCAGCCTGGAGGCCTCCCCCCCCCCCCCACAACCTAGACCTAGGAGACCCCTGCCAGGCACCAACAGTCTCCTCAGCACTCCATATTCGACCCAACTCCTCTGTCAGCCTGACTCTCCTATATTTATGGGCCAGTCAACCACTCTACCAGGGCCTCCAAACCTGGGAATAGCCGGACTACCATAAACATGCAGATTAGGTTTCCACCCTTTCTTGCTTACAGACTTCTGGAAGGTTCTATGGTCCTCCAGAGTAAGGAAGAGGCAATAGAAATACAACCTGTTAAGTCATCCAGCTGACCTGCAACAACTCAACCTCAATCACAGACTAACATAGTTACCATGAATCATACACAATGATTTTACCTGCAAAACACTACACTATTCTAGAAGCACACTAGAGGGTGTTACACACTGACAAAGTACATGCTTACAGGAGCAGAAATCAAATAGAAGACTGATGAGCTGCCACTGCTCAGTCACTACCCAATAACAAGCTTGGAGGCAGAGTCTAGCTTAATTGCTTAAAGTGATTGTAAAGCTTAATTTTTTTTTAACCACTTGCCTACCGGGTACTTTTACCCCCTTCTTGCCCAGGCCAATTTTCAGCTTTCAGCACTGTTGCATTTTGAATGGCAATTACACAGTCATGCAACACTGTACCCATTTGAAATGTTTATCAGTAGAGCTTTCTTTTGGTGGCATTTAATCGCCCCCCGAGGGGTGCATCATATTACGCCCTCCCAGAACTGGACAACCACACTGTAGCCATCATTCGGCTATAGCCCGGTTGTCAAGTGATTAAACAACAAACATGTCATACTTACCTGCTCTGTGCAATTGTTTTGCACAGAGCAGCCCCCAAACCTCCTCTTCTGGGGTCCCCTGTCAGCCCTGGCCACTTATCCTCTTCTCCGTCTAACCCCCCATAGCAAACCACTTGCTATGGGAGCAGATGCTTGGGCTCAGTCCCCGGCCGGGTTGTGTGCATGCTTAGACATACATAGCATGGCTCAGCCCCACCTCCACAGAATTTGACAGACAGCAGCAGGAGCCAATGACGTTTGCTGCTGATGAGTCTCCTGTGATAAGAGAGAGAAAGGAGAAGAGCTGCTGCAGATAGGCACGGCGCTGAGGTAACTGTTTAAGAGGGCCTGGGGGGGGACAACATTTTAAAAGTATTTTTTAAAATAACATAGAGAATAAAAAGAGAAACAAAATCACCTTTAAGATTTCTTTAACTGCAATACAGAAAAACCAGGTCACCAGCCATATTCTACTGTCTGGTCTGGCATAGATATGTAAATCTCATCACTGGATGGACAGAAATACAAATCATTTGGAAGGTAAAGTAGGTCCATTATTTGTATTTCATTTGTGTATTTGGATGTTTGGCTGGAATTCAGCTTCAATGCAAAAAATATATCTGATGCTAGATCCATTTTAATGAGCAAATGAATTTGTCAGATATGCCATGTTACTATCTTTATACAGCTCTACCACAAAGCTGCTTTGTAATGTATTCTTCATTTATGAAATATAGTTGTTAAAAATTACAATGCATGTCACCTGCAATACATATCAATGACCTTCTGTGAAGGTGCCATGTGAACAAATGTAAATGTAAATGATGGTATTACAGATGTATCCCAGATCAACCTGCCGCAGCCTGTCACAGAAGGTGAGTCAGGGGCCAGGCAAGACATTCTGAAGATAATATTACATTGTTAAAATATAACAAAATTAACAGTAGTAAGTTATTTAGCTCACCAGCATCCATCCATAGTCAAAAATGTTGGTTTTGTGTGGAAAAAAAACAAATGAAAATTAGCCAGAGGACTAAAACGGTGGATACATATTTGAAAAAGAGATAATTGTTTGAAAGCTTTAATCCTCATTAAAGTGTTACTAAACCCACAACAGTAAAATCAGTCTGCATATGCAGTAAAGCATTCTTATTACACTCACTGTGGAACCTAAGGGGTTAATCCTCTGCATTGTGTTTGATCCTGACTTCTCTGATCCTCCCTTTCTTCCAGTGTCCCCCTCTTATCTCCTGATAAGACATACTGTGTGGGGTCATTCTGCACATGCCCTGTTTGGTGTGTATTGCTAGATAGGTTTTTTTTTTCTTGAGAGAATGCATGTGATCAGCACAGGGCCAATCAGCACTGTCCAGAGAGAGTTCAGGGGTTCTGCGTCCTCCTAGACCAAAATGAAAACTCCTCCAAGCTTTAATCAGTGCTCTGCTGAACACTGATAGAAGTCACAGGACTGCTCTATCTGCTAATGAGAAAAGGTATTTAGCAGTTTATATTTACTAAAATAATTGCATTTTCATGTTCTGTGTACTGTGGGAGACCAGCTATAGTGAATGCAGAGTCCTGGGTTTAGTAACACTTTAATAAAACATAGAGAACTTCTTAAAACATATCTAGTCAAAATAAAAAAAAAGAATCAACACAAGGGGCATTATTTACTATTATTCTGATCTATTCCTTGTGCTGCTGGCTTTGGCTTTCCTTGAAATGTTCATCCTCTGGCCCCCCCATCTCTACCACTGTAATTTTTTGGTGTGATGGGGGTCAAAAGAGCTGAAGAGTCTGCCCATTTCCTTTCCACCCACCTCCTCTTTGAAGCTGTACTACAGCTTCTATGAATGAAACATGATATATGAATGGAGGACATCTAGATGATTGAAAGGTCCACCCCCTCCATTTATAGATCATGTTTTATTCAAGGAAGGTTGTCCTACAGCTTCTATGAATGGACTATCTGGGCTGAGTTGAGCATATTTGGGCACTCTTGACACCTGTCACAGTTTCCCTTAGCTCTAAGATTGCAAAAGGCAGGCGTAGAGTGATATATGAAGAGTTCAAGAAATGAAGGAACCAGCAGCACAAGGGACCTATCAGATTAACAGAAAGCAATGTCCCTTGTGAAAATGCTGCTTTTATTTTGACTAAACATGGGCTTTAAAATGACTATATCGTTTTTCTTCTACCCAGCGATCAGGCACAAAAAACTGTCAATGGCTTAGTTAACTTGGTCTTCTGCCATACATCAATGCATACTGCATGTCAACATTTAAATTCACAAATGAAATAGTTATAGCATACCTGTGTTAAAAGAGGATATAGTCTATTGTGTCTTTGTATTTGTGGATTATTGATGGCTTAGTTCAGATAAAGTGGTAAAGTGGTAACATTTTTCATGTATTTCTATTGTCTTTTTTTTTTTCAGGGCAAGTAACCAGTGACAGCTCCCTCTTCACCTACGATTCAAAGTTCCTTTTAGATAACTATCAAGTTAAACATGACCCAGACTTCTTGCCCACATTTTCAGTCCTGGAAGATCCTAATGACCCATTTACACAAGAAGTGATTAAAATGTGTGGAAATGATTATTTCTGTAAATTTGATGCTCTCACTACTAGATCCCTCTGGGTTGGAAATGCAACAAAATTAACACATGACAATCACCAAAAATTGGTTCAGGTTCTGCAACCAGGTAGGACAATAAAAATTACTTACTAGGCTGGAAAATGTGTTTATCAGCATTTAATGAATTACACCTCTCAATATATACAATAAAACACAACACTTACCGTATTTTTCGCTCCATAAGATACACCTGACCATAAGACGCACCTAGGTTTTAGAGGCAGAAAACAAGAAAAAAAAATATTCTGAACCAATGGACTGCAGACACAGTACAGGAGATGACCAGAGAGACTGCAGACATAGTACAGGAGATGACCAGAGACTTCAGACATAGTACAGGGAGATGACCAGAGACTTCAGACATAGTACGGAGATGACCAGAGACTGCAGAGAGTACAGGGGATGACCAGAGACTGCAGACATAGTACAGAGGATGACCAGAGACTGCAGACAGTACAGGGGATGACCATAGACTGCAGACATAGTACAGGAGATGACCAGACACTGTGGACATAGTACAAGAGATGACCAGGGATTATGGACACAGTACAGGAGATGACCAGAGACTGGATGACCAAAGACTGCGGACACAGTACAGGAGATGACCAGAGACTGCAGACATACTACAGGAGATGACCAGAGACTGTGGACACAGTACAGGAGATGACCAGAGACTGCGGACATACTACAGGAGATGACCAGAGACTGCGGACACAGTACAGGAGATGATCAGAGACTGCGGACACAGTACAGGAGATGACCAGAGACTGCGGACACAGTACAGGAGATGACCAGAGACTGCAGACATACTACAGGAGATGACCAAAGACTGCGGACACAGTACAAGAGATGAACAGAGACTGCGGACAGTACAGGGGATGACCAGAGACTGCAGACAGTACAGGGGATGACCAGAGACTACGGATAGTACAGGAGATGACCAGAGACTGCGGACAGTACAGGAGATGACCAGAGACTGTGGACAGTGCAGGGGATGACCAGAGACTGCGGACAGTGCAGGGGATGACCAGAGACTGCAGACAGTACAGGGGATGACCAGAGACTACGGATAGTACAGGAGATGACCAGAGACTGCGGACAGTACAGGAGATGACCAGAGACTGCGGACAGTGCAGGGGATGACCAGAGACTGCGGACAGTGCAGGGGATGACCAGAGACTGCGGACAGTGCAGGGGATGACCAGAGACTGCGGACACAGTACAGGAGATGACCAGAGACTGCAGACAGTACAGGAGATGACTGCTGACCTTGGGGAGGGAGGGGGAGTGGGTACCTGAATTTGACAGGTACCCACTTCCGCAGAGTTGTCCTCTCTTTAGTGTGGGCACCCGGCTGACAGCCGGGTGCCCAGTGTGCATGCGCGAGAAGCGCTGCGTTTTGTGATTGGTCCGCATCTTCTGGGACCTGTCATGTGTCCCAGAAGACGCCGTACCATTCACAAAGCGCAGCGCTACTCGCGCATGCGCACTGGGCACCCGGCTGTCAAGTCAAGAGCCCCCGCTAAAGAAGCCGGCGCGGGAAGCCGGCGCGGGAAGACTGCGCGGGAAGGCTGCGCAGCGCTGGACCGAGGAACAGGTAAGGGGCTGTTGCAGAGCTGAGTGGCCAGCCTGGTATTCTGACATGGCGGCGGTGGAAATACCGGACCGGCCGCTCCATATTCGCTCCATAAGACGCACTGACATTTCCCCCCCTTTTTATGGGGGGAAAAAAGTGCGTCTTATGGAGCGAAAAACACGGTACTTATTCTATGTGAATTTCTTTGAAATTAGAATGTTTGTTTAGTCCCTACATTTTTAATCACTTGCCCTCCAGAGGATTTCCCCCCCTTCCTGATCAGACCATTTTTTTGCGATACATCGCTGCGTTACTTTAACTGACAATTGTGCGGTCATGCACTGCTGCACCCAAATAAAATTTACGTCCTTTTCCCCAACAAATAGAGTTTTCTTTTGGTGGTATTTGATCACCTGTGCATTTTTTATTTTTTGCGCTATAAATAAAAAAAGACCAACAATTTTGAGAATAAACATTTTTTTTTACTTTTTGCTATTGAACATATCCAGTAAAAAAAAAATTTAAATCAAATTTTGGCAGAAATTTAGGTCAAAATGTATTCTGCTATGTCTTTGCTAAAAAAAAATCCCAATACGTGTAAATTAATTGGTTTATGTGAAATTTATACTGTTTACAAATGGCGGTATAGATACTGGAATTATTTTTCTTTTTTTTACTAGTAATGGCAGTGATCAGCGACTTATAGCGGGACTGCGGTGCTGCGGCGGGCATACTGACACTGAGGGGGGAACTGACTTGGTGTCAATGACATCCCCAGTGACACCAATACAGTGGTCAGTGCTAATAAAAAGCACTAGCACTGTACTAATGAAACTGGGGCAGGAAGGAAGGGGTTAGCATCTGTTGTGATCAAAGGGTTAATTGTGTGCTGTTTCACTATGGGGGTTGTGTGTGTGCTTCACTGTAAACACTCTGTGTGCAAGAGCCGACAGGGGAGAGATCTGTATTGTTTACATACTGGTCTGTCCCCCGTTGGAGATACTCAATGATCAACTATGTTTTTTTTCACAAAATTACTGATTAAAGTGATTTAAAGTGTTACTAAACCCACAACAGTAGAATCAGTATATGCAGTAAAGCATGCTTGTTTTGCTGTGGAACTTAAGGGGTTAATCCTCAGCATTGTTTAAAAAGGATGTTTGATCATTTCTTCTCAGATCCTCCCCTTCTTCCACATTCCCCATTTTATCTCCTGATAGAACACAGTCTTGGGGACACTCTGCACATGCTCAGCTTGGTGTGTACTGCTAGAGAGTGTTTTCTTTTTCTGGGAGGGTGCATGTGATAAGCACAGGGCCAATCAGCACTGTCCAGACAGAGGATCAGGGGTTATGCATTCTCGTAGGGCAGTGCAAGGAAAATGAAAATTCCTTCTACAAGCTTTAACCAGTGCTCAGCTGATCACTGATATAAGTCACAAGATTGCTCTAACTGATGATGAGAAAAAGTATTTAGCAGTATATATTTAGTAACATACCATATTTTCCGGCGTATAAGACGACTTTTCAACCCATGAAAATCTTCTGAAAAGTCGGGGGTCGTCTTATACGCCGGTATACGGCGAGCCGCTGTCAGGGCGGCACTTTTTCAAAGGGGCGGCGCGGCACTGCCCCCCCCTCCATCTCCAACGGACACTAAGTACAGGGGTGGGCAGAGGGACTGCTGTACCTTACCTGGCTCCGGTCCCGGTCCCACGACGATCCGGTCCAGGAGCGCGGCTGCTCCTTCTTTCAGTTCGGCCGCTTGATGGTCGCACGGCCGCTCGGCTCCGCCTCCTCACCGGTGATTGGGCGCCAGCACTGGAAAGGCACACAGGCGACCAATCACCAGCGAGGAGGCAGAGCCGAGCGGCCCCGCGAAAATCGAGCGGGCGAACTGAAAGAAGGAGCAGCTGCTCCTCTCCCCCACTGACACTAACGATGGGGCACTATTCCTCCTCCACACTGACACCAACGATGAGGCACTGTTCCTCCTCCACTGATACCAACGATGGGGCACTATTCCTTCTCCCCACTGACACCAATGATGGGGCACTATTCTCCCCACTGACAACAATGATGGGGCACTATTCTCCCCACTGATACCAATGATGGGGCACTATTCCTCCCCCACTGACACCAATGATGGGGCACTATTCCTCCCCCACTGACACCAATGATGGGGCACTATTCCTCCCCCACTGACACCAATGATGGGGCACTATTCTCCCCACTGACACCAATGATGGGGAACTATTCCTCCCCCACTGACACCAATGATGGGGCACTATTCTCCCCACTGATACCAATGGTGGGGCACTATTCCTCCCCCACTGACACCAATGATGGGGCACTATTCTCCCCACTGACACCAATGATGGGGCACTATTCTCCCCACTGACACCAAAAATGGGGCACTATTCCTCCCCCACTGACACCAACGATGGGGCACTATTCCTCCTCCCCACTGACACCAACGATGGGGCACTATTCCTCCTCCCCACTGACACCAACGATGGGGCACTATTCCTCCCCCACTGACACCAATGATGGGGCACTATTCCTCCTCCCCACTGACACCAATGATGGGGCACTATTCTCTCCACTGATACCAACGATGGGGCACTATTCCTCCTTCCCACTGACACCAATGATGGAGCACTATTCCTCCCACTGACACCAATGATGGGGCACGATTCTTCCCACTGACACCAATGATGGGGCACTATTCCTCCCACTGACACTAATGATGGGGACACTATTCCTCCCACTGACACTAATGATGGGACACTATTCCTCACACACTGACACTAATGATGGGGCACCATCATTGGTGTCAATGGGAGGAATAGTGTCTCATCATAGGTATCAGTGGGAGGAATAGTGCCCCATCATTGGTGTCAGTGGATGAAATAGTGCCCCATCATTGGTGTCAGTGGGAGGAATCGTGCCCCATCATTGGTGTCAGTGGGAGGAATAGCACCCCATCATTGGAATACCATACTGAAATAGCATACCATATTGAACGATTCTTCCCACTGACACCAATGATGGGGCACTATTCCTCCCACTGACACTAATGATGGGACACTATTCCTCCCACTGACACTAATGATGGGACACTATTCCTCACACACTGACACTAATGATGGGGCACCATCATTGGTGTCAATGGGAGGAATAGTGTCTCATCATTGGTATCAGTGGGAGGAATAGTGCCCCATCATTGGTGTCAGTGGATGAAATAGTGCCCCATCATTGGTGTCAGTGGGAGGAATCGTGCCCCATCATTGGTGTCAGTGGGAGGAATAGCACCCCATCATTGGAATACCATACTGAAATAGCATACCATATTGAAATCAAATCTGATGTTTTTTCATTTTTATTTGGTGTGCGTTGGAAGAGGGGTAGTCTTATACGGCGAGTATAGCTCAAACCCTATATTTTACCAGGAAAAGTAGGGGGTCGTCTTATACGCCGGAAAATACGGTAATTGTATTTCCATGTTGTGTGTTCTGTGGGAGATCAGATATAGTGAATACGGGGTCCTTGGTTTAGTAACACTTTAAGGGAAATAATACACATGATACCCATCATCAGCATGTAAGATTTTATTATTAACTGAATATCATCTTTGCTTTCTCTCAGTGGTATCATGCGGCTGGCTAGAACCCCCAAAGAATGGAAAGAAGGAGGGAACAAGCTACTTGGTTAACTCTCAGGTGAAAATCACCTGTAACAAAGGATATGTGTTATGGGGTTCCTCCTTACACACATGTCAGCAAGACGGCAAATGGAGTGGGCAGACAAATCAGTGTGTATATGGTAAGTGCCCTGTTGCAATTGCTTTGTTATAATGCTCCTATGCTGACTTCTAACTGCTGTAGGCATCTGGTGGCCAACTCTTATGCGTAAAAATTGGCCATACCTAATGGGGCCAAGTTGTTGATGGTATTATGTATCAGCCATTCATAAAACATGAGGGTAAAGTCAATAAAGTGCAGTACTGGCTTACCTCAACAGCAAAAAGCAATGTCAGATCGACAATTTGAGTTGTAAAATATGTTTCCGCCAGAGATTGCTGTACAATTGTGCCAAAATCAATGATTACCTTCATATAAGGATTTCTTGACTTTCTCTGCAACAACATGACCTTGGAAATTAGAAGGTTTTTTTTAAAAAAAAATTTGGGCTGGGAGGGTCACCTCAATAGTCCTCTGGGTGTTTTTATGCAGGCCAACTTTGTCACTATTCATATTGTGTAACAGTCTCTCTCAGTGTATGACCAGCTTACTGAACCTGTTGTCAGCTTATCTTATTACATGTAGAAACAATTATTATATTTTATTATATTCTCTTGTGAACAATCTTTTGGAATATTGGGCTACTGCAATTTTCTTGACCTGAACTGAATGCTGACGATTCCGTGTATCTGAGCTGGCAGTGCACATAAACCCATCTAATGCAACTTTGCCACATTTTTGTTTTTCACTATCACACATAGTTTAAAGTGGAGCTCCACCCGATTGAATGCATTGTCCCCACTTCCCGTTAAGGATTGGCACCTTTTGGGAGCAGGGGGGCTGGTAACCACTCCCACTTTCGCTGCGATCTCCTAAGGCGATTGGAAGCAGAAGTTGTCCTCCCCCCTTTCTCCCTGTAGTCTTCTGGGACATGTGACAGGTCCCAGAAGACTATGGGTCCATTCACAAAGTGCAGCGCTGCTTGCGCATGTGCAGTGGGCACCCGGCTGAAGATGCCGGCATCGGGGAGAGAAGATGGCTGGTGAAACCAGCCGTGGTGAGGACACCGCTGGACCGAGGAACAGGTAAGTGTCTGTAGTGTAAAAGTCAGCAGCTAAAGTTTTAGTATCTGCTGACCTTTATTTTTTTTTTTAAATCAGCTGGAACTCTGCTTTAAGTAATAAATCATTAAACCTTTATGGAGGAAGGGTAAAACAAATCCTAATTCCTGAACACAGCTTTGCAACTTTGACATTTGTTAGTAAAAACTGTACATATAATTACAACTACTTCTCCACAACATTTAAAACATTTAAAGTAATTCTAAAAGTTGTAATTTTTTTAATAACAAGCATGTTATACTTATCTGCTTTGTGCAAAGAGCACAAGAGCAGCCCCGATCCTCTTCCCCTGTTCCCCCACCACCAGTCCAGTCCTGGCTCCTGCTCCCTTCCAAGTGCCACCAGAGCAAGTCTCTTGCTATGGGGGCATGTGAGCAGGCCTGTGAATGGACAATGGCTCCCGCTGCTGTATGAGGCAATGAGCTGCGGCTCTTGTGTACATCGCTGCATTGAGATGGGGCTTAGGCAAGTATATGGGGGGGGGGGGGGGGTTGAGGGGGGAGCTGCTCCCAGAATGTTTTTTACCTTAATGCATAGAATGTATTAAGGTAAAAAACCTTCTGCTTTCAGAATCACTTTAACTCCAGGTAAACCACGTATTAAACTGCAACTTTTCAAATAGCTACAAAGTCATGCAAAAATTAATACATTTAGTTTCAATCTCAGTAATTTATCCTTAGACTATCACTCTATCTATTTCTCTCTCTATCTATCTATCTATCTATCTATCTATCTATCTATCTATCTATCTATCTATCTATCTATCTATCTATCTGTCTCTATTTATATACATGTAGCGCTACCCCCTTGAGGGCTGCTGAGTATTTTTGGGTTGCCTGTTTGTCCTGAGCCTGCTTTCAAAGTACAGCCCTGCTGACACCACCATGAATCTTTGACCAGGAAGACTCCCTGGCTTTGAACTATAACATAAACACACACAGTTTAAAGTGAGCAAATATTCTGGTTATGGAATAAAAGTAAAGCTGCTGTGAAACACTCCAAGGAATCACTGGACCTCATAACAAGAATATTAAATATATAGTGCAGCGCTGTAATGTAATTAAATAGATAAAAAATAATAAAAGTGAAATAGTTCGTAAAGTCCTTTCACAATAAAATAATCAAACATGTGAAGGCCTCCTCCTCATTAGGTGACTGGAATCAAACATTCTTGGCCACTTGCCTGGGGTGGAGGGCATATTTAGATCAGAAGACTTATGTCTCTCTGATCGGACCACTCGCCCTTCTATCACCAGCCATGGGCAACCAGCACTTGATTATGTGCTCTATTTACATTCTTCTGACAGTAGCTGCTGACTCTCACAGCTTACTGCCTATGATCCATGGCAAAATGGCGGCGATCGGGCGGTGCATGCGCAGTTCATTTCTGCACAGCCGCAATCCACGGCAAAATGGCGGTTATTCGCGCATGCGCAGTTCCGCTTTTCGGATTTCTGACGATAGAGCGGGATTTTCGCGCATGCGAGAACCGCATTAAAATTGGGAAGTCTGTCTGTCACACTGCTAGTGGCGTCCACCCTCTGATGAAGTGCCGTAGCACGAAAGGCCTCAGGAGGAGCCAGTAGCAAGTGTGACTTCCTGACCAGTGAGACCACGAGGAGGTCCGGTGGTCTCTGATTCTTACCTCTGCCGGGTTAGTACATGTTTTACTTATCTTTCACATTTACCAGTCCGCTTGATGGCCGATGGTATTTGTATGCACATGTGACCCTGGCTTAACTACTGTTGATCCAATAAACTTTTGAACCTACTACACTATTGGCGTTCCCCTTTTTCTTTGACCCTCTTGCTGGAGGGTTTCAGATCTACATCTACCACTTCTGGGGTACCTGGAACCAGGAGGGGAACCCCTGTCTACCTATCATTTGGGGCAAGAGGGCTCTCGGGACCTGGAGGTATTACTGCACCCAAGGTTGCTGTCAGTGTTTAAGAGGGATGATCTATGTGTTCTCTGGATCTGCATGCCTGGCTGGTCATCTGGATAAAATTACACACATGCGCATTTAAAATGCGCGGTCGGTGAGTGCGCATTTTTTCTGTTTGATTCCAGTCACCTAATGAGGAGGAGGCCTTCACATGTTTGATTATTTTATTGTGAAAGGACTTTACGAACTATTTCACTTTTATTATTTTTTATCTATTTAATTACATTACAGCGCTGCACTATATATTAAATATTCTGGTTATATTGAGGTCCGACTATAAAGAGTGCAAGCACAACAGGAATGACAGTAGATGTGCATGAAAGAAAAGTGATACATTCTAAAAGGTTCAGCAAGTAATATAACACAGTATCACTTTAACTGCTTCCCAACCGCCCTATAGTAGATATACTGCTACAGGGCTGCAGGGGTGCGCAAAATCACGTGTATATATATATATATATATATATATATATATACGTGATTTTTTGTGTTTCCGGGTAGGGGGCATGCGCGAGCTACGCGCGCCGCCATTCGCGGTCACGGCAATCTCCATGGTCGTGGACGGCATGAGGAAATTGAAGTCCCGGATGGTGGAATAAGCAGCCCAAATGTTCAAAAGACATTCACGACTGTCTGTCAATCAATCATCGGATCCCGGCCGATGATTACCAACCGGCGCCCCCCGTGATTTCCGAACATCTCCGATGGGGAGGAGGACTGCTTTGTTTACTAACAGTCCTCCTCCCTGTCAGCTCAGGCACACTGCTGTGGATGGCTGTGCACAGAACAGCCATCTAGAGCAGTGTGATTACATTGTAGCACACACACACAGCCCCTAGTAAAGCACTCCCAGCACACAATTAACCCTTTGATCGCCCCTCACGTTACCACCTTCCTGCCCAGTGTCATTAGTACAGTGGCAGTGCTTTTGTTTAGCACTGATCACTGTATTAGTGTCACTGGAGATGTCAGTGACACCAAGTCAGTTCCTCCCAGTGTCAGAATGCCTGCCGCAGTCCCGCTATAAGTCACTGATCGCCGCCATTGCTAGTAACAAAAAAAATTCCAGTATCTATACCTCTATTTGTAAACGCTATAACTTTCACGTAAACCAATTAATTTACACATATTGGGATTTATTTTTTAGCAAAGACATGTAGCAGAATACTTTTTGGCATAAATTTAGGATGAAATTTGATCTTTTAAATTTTTTTAATGTTTAATAGCAAAAAGTTAAAAATAGTGCAAAAAGTTAAAAATAGTTTTTTTTTTCAAAATTGTCGGTTTTTTTTTTTATAGCGCAAACAATAAAAAACTCACAGGTGATCAAACACCACAGAAAGAAAGCTCAATTCATGGGAAAAAAAAGGATATAAATTTAATTTGGGCGCAGCATTTTATGATCGTGCAATTTTCAGTTAAAGCAACACAGCGCAGTGACAAAAAAATGGCCTGGTCAGGAAGGGGGGTAAATCCTCAGGAGGGCAAATGGTTAAGCAACCCCAAATGTCCTGCAGGATCAGAATTTAAACATCAATTTCAGCTTCTGAGATATCTCAAGTGAGCTGGAGTGCAATATCAAGGTGTCAGGATAACTCACTTTTGGGTTCTCAGTCACTGGTAACTGAGTTTAACTCTGAGATGAATACTGTTGTTGCCAGAACACCACAGATTCTGGAGCTCATGGGGTGTTCAGAAAATCTATCAGCACATTCAGGCACCTTGAAGTACTTACTTTACACTATGCTATTTTTTTTTTTTTTTTGCTGCTGCTACTATACTTAGTTTTTTTGGGGAAAAAGTAACAAGTACTGAAAACAGGGGCTCAAACTGCTGACATGCTCCTGAGTATTGGCTTCTTGACTGAGATCTGGATTTCTGACTTTGAAGTAGAACTAAAGGAAAACCTTGTTTTCATTTTAGATAGAGTATAAGTGGGTTATAAGCCCTGTCAGTTTTTTTAACCACTGGGGAGATTTCCCTGCACTTCCTATCCCATAGCCCTAACAAGAAGTGAAAGGAAATCCTTTGTTTACACCAGAGCCATCAGAATTAGTGTCCCCACTGGAAGATTACTCTTTT